CAACATTAGACAAGCCCCTCTGGCTCTGAACTGCCTCCTCTGTCAAAGGAGGGGGTGGGCTGTTCCAAGAGACCACCAGCTTCTAGTGAAGCCTCTGGTAGCTTCCAGAGTGCAGAGTCTGAATGCTGTCATTCTCTGTGGTATGCACGCCTCCTTGGAGAGTGGAGGCTCCTAGAACATCCAGCGTGGCGTGGACACTCAGCCAGTGTTGCTTCTGTGAATAAAGGGATGAGTAATGCATAACATGACTTATTTTATAAAAGAGCAGAGTTTGTTTGTTTGCATTTGCTGCTGGCTCTTCTGGAAATTGGTACTTCTACTTTTTCCTTCTTTTTAGTTTTGGGGATCATTTTGAGTGGAACAAAGTGACCTCTTGCATCCATAACATCTTAAGCGGGCAGAGGTGGATTGAGCACTATGGAGAGATTGTCATCAAGAATCTGAATGATGATTCCTGCTACTGCAAAGTGAATTTTATAAAGGTAACTCCAGTGACTCTCTGAGCTCTGTCCCTGGAAAGGCTGTGGCAGAGCCAGGGCCCCAGAGCACAGGGCATTTGAGAGATTTTTCACCTTCACCTTTATGCCAGCAGGCAAGCAATGCTGGAACTCCTTGGTCCCAGCTGCACCTTTGTCACCTAGACCAGGGCAGTGGCCCCTCCTGGGGGCCACTAGGGTCTGTCCTCAGTACAGCAGCCAGAGAGACCCTTTTAAAACATAATCACCATGCTGCAGTATGGATGCACCTTGAAGCCCCAAAAGGACGAATATTACATGATTCCACTTCTGCAAGATCCCCAGAGGAATCCAGTTCACAGAGAAAGAAAGCAGAATGGTGGTCACCCGGGGCTGCAGGAGGGAGGAAGGGGGAATTAGTGTTGAATGGGTATAGAACTTCAGTTTGGGAAGATGAAAAAAGTTCTAGAAATAGATAGTGGTGATGGTTGCACAGCATTGTGAATGTATTTAATGCCACTGAATTGTACCCTTAGAAATGGTTAAAATGGTCAATGTTACATTAGGTATGGTTTACCACAGACTTTTTTTTTTAAAAAAAATCTCATGCTGTATCATTCCTTTGAGCAAAATCCCCCAACAGCTTCCATCTTTCTCAGAGTTGAAACCTGCATCCTTATGGTGACCCGCCAGGCCCTGCACAGGCTACACTCCCCATCCCCACCGTTTCACACACATACTTGCACACTTGCAGATACACACACACACCACCTCGTTCCCCTCCAACCTGAACTTCTCTTTTTCCTCCCTCTTTTTCCCCACTGTCCTCTGGCCACACCGGCCTTCTTTCTCTTTCTTCATTTCCTTCTGCTTGGGGAGCTGTTCCCAGATCTTTCCATCACTAGCCCCATCCTGTCATTCGCTCCCTATCCGGTCCCATTTTCTTCAGAGTGCTTATCACCGTCTGAGGTCAGCCTGCTCATCGTTGCTGTGTGTGTTTATTTTCTGCTCTCCATGCCCTCCTCCTCATCCTTGACTCCAGAAGAGCAAAACCTAGTCTATCTTGCTCACTTCTGTAGCCCTGATACCTGAAATGGTATCTGGCACACATGAGAGACCCATAAACATTCAGAGAAGAAATGGAAAGACTGGCCAGAGGCAAAAAGTATGGAATAGTCTCTTTATCATTTTAACAGCCTTGCTGGGCAGCCCTCCCTGCTTTCTCTCTCTCTCCTAGATTCCTTCATGCTCTTAAAAATTGTATGTAGTTAAAATAGCTTTAAAACATGGTCCTCCTCAAGGAATATTTGCATTTAACAAAGATGGAAATAATAAGCAGAGTTGAGGTTTTATTGTAGAACTTCATGCAATGCCTCTCTGCACCACCTGTAACCTATAGGGAATACTTAGGAAGAGGTGGATTGGGGTCTTTATTATAACCTCAAACTGGTTTATAGACTGACATAAAGCCCATAATGACCTTACATGTGGGACAAAATAAAAATGACCCTACCTTGAAAGCTTTGTCTGAGCTCTCTGCAAACAGAAACAAAAGGCAGCCTGAAGCAGGGATATATTACCTGTGTCCCAGGTGAAAGCCACATTGCTCTCAACGTTTTCTCCAAGGACACATGCTCCACTCCCGTATCTACCACCTACCTGGTTCTCATCCACTTACATGCAGAAAATGGGTTGTATAGTCATGAGAGATGAACACTGGGCATGTCTGGTGTTGAAAGAGATGCTGCAAGCGGATGCCACACTCCCCTGTGGAAGGTGACAGTGTCCCTTGGTGGCTTCCAGCAAATTCTCAGCACTGGATTTGTTGGCAGATATCTCTAAGGGAAAATCTGACACCTGATTCATAATAAAATTAAGAGCCCTGGTGCCATGGCTCACACCTGTAATCCCAGCACTTTGGGAGGCTGAAGCAGGAGGCTCACTTGAGGCCTGAAATTTGAGACCAGCCTGGGCAACATGACAAGACCCTATCTCTATAAAGAAATTTAAAAATTAACCAGACATGGTGGCATGCACCTGTAGTCCCAGCTGCTGGAGAGGCTGAGGCAGAAGGAGCACTTGAGCTCAGAAATTTGAGACTGCAGTGAGCTATGTTTTCACCACTGCACTCTATCCTGGGGAACATAGTAAGACCCTGTATCATCAAAAAATAAATAAAAAAACTTAAGATCTTTTTGCTTTTCCCTCATTATTACATGGCTGGAGAACTTAACTTTAAATTTTTAATTCAACTCTGAGACACTTCCGTGCCCCACCATTTTTACCACAGCCTTGAAATGCAGAAGCTGAACGACCGGAATCTGACCTGAAAATGCCATTCAACATTATTGGTTTCCAAATACGGATTCTGTTTAAGCTGAAAATAGTACTAGGGTTTTTTGATTTATGGAGAAATGCCTTTGCCGTTCTTTCATAGAAACTTTTAGGGCAGCCAGGTAATTTGGAAAAAAAAAAAATCAACTCTAGGGCGCTAGAGCTCCCTCTGCTGGCTGCAGTGTGGAACTGTATAAAATCCTCTGGACTGGGCTGGCCTGAGCTGAGCTGAACTGAGCAGAATAGAGTGCAAGGTTGCCTCGCAGACCAGGACCAATACATAGTGAGAATACCCACGCTACTCGCTTGATGTATAGAAACTGAACCTTTTCTTTTCTTGGTTTTGTTCTTTTTTTGTTTTGTTTTGATATGGAGTCTTACTCTCACCCAGTCTGAAGTGCAGTGGTGCAGTCTGAGCTCACAGCAACCTCCACCTCCCGGGTTCAAGTGATTCTCGTGCCTCAGCCTTCCCAGTAGCTGAGATTACAGGCACCCACTACCACAGCCGGCTTAATTTTGTATTTTTAGTAGAGATAGGGTTTCACCATGTTGGATAGGCTGGTCTCAAACTCCTGCCCTCAAGTGATCCACCCACTTCGGCCTCCCAAACTGCTGGGATTACAGGCATGAGGCACTGGACCCGGCCGAGAACTGAGCCTTCTTTTACATTG